CCCCCCCAAAAAAAAACCCAAAACACAACCCCAAAAAATCAAACGCACAAACCCAACCAAAACCAACAAACCCACTGCAAATAAAATGCTTGATAGAAAAGACTTTTGTTGTAATAAGATACCTGGAGCACCTATGGTGGTGCGGGTTTTCTCAGTTTATTTCGCTGATTGGCAGTGTTAGATCATGGGACGGTCTGCACGACACCAGGCCTGCTGGGGCCTCACGGGATTCACCTTTCTCAGTGGGGGAAAACTGTCTGTGACCTTTTTCGGAGCCTACACTTCCTGTGCTTATCATGAAGTTACGAAGGGTCAAAGCAAGCTTACTTTAAAAGCATGTTAAACATTTAATAATACTGATAGACCTTGGGCTGCCTGGTCCCCTGAGATGGAGAACCACAAGTGTGGAAACAGTGACTTCCCATTTGTGAACACTGAAGTTGTAAGGGACCGACTGTATCAGCTGAACGTTCACCAGTCCACGGGGCTTGATGGGGTACATCCCAGAGTACTGGAGGAGCTAGCAGATGTTCTGGCAGGGCCCTTCTCGATCATCTGCCAAAGGTCTTGGGAGTCTGGGGAGGTCCCTGCTGACTGGAAGCCAGCCAGTTTTATTCCTGGCTACAAAAAGGGCGTGAGGGAACACCCAGGGAACTACAGACCTGTTAGTCTAACCTCAGTTCCTGGAAAAATTATGGAGATTATACTGTGTACTATTGGAAGGCATTTAAGGAATAATGCAATCATCAGGCACAGTCACCATGGGTTCACAAAGGGAAAATCATCTTCTGTGATAAGGTCACCCGCCTAGTGGATGAAGGGAAGGTGGTGGATGTAATTTTTCTGGATTTTAGTAAGGCTTTTGATGCTGTCCCTCACAGCATCCTTCTTGAACAAGTTGTCCAGCTGTGGGATGAACAGGTTCATGTTGTGCTGGGTGAAAAACTGGCTTAACAGCAGGACTCCAAGGGTTGCAGGGAACAGGGCTACATCTGGCTGGCAGCTGGTCACCAGCGGTGTTCCTCCAGGCTCAATTCTAGGGCCAGTTCTGTTCAGTGTATTTAGCAATGATCTGGATGCAGGGGTTGAATGCACCATTAACTAGCTTGCTGATGATACCAAACTGGGAGGTGCTGTTGGGTCTCTTGAGGGACAAGAGGCCTTGCAGAGGGATCTGTATAGATTGGAGCATTGGGCTATGATTAATGGGTTGATAACAAGTCGAAATGCCCGATTCTGCACCTAGAATGGAGTAACGCCGGGCACAAGTATAAACTGGGAGAGGAGTGGCTGGAGAGCAGCCTTGCAGAGAGGGATCTGGGGGTGCTGGTCGACAGCAGGCTCCGTAGGAGTCAGCAGCGTGCCCTGGCAGCCAAGAGGGCAAACCGCACCCTGGGGTGCATCAGACACAGCGCAGCCAGCCGGTGAAAGGAGCCGATTATCCCGCTGCGTTCAGCCTTGCGGCGGCCTCACCGTCAGTACTGCGTGCAGTTCCGGGCCCCACGGTTTAAGAAGGGTGTTAGGGTCCTTGAGTGTGTCCAGAGGAGGGCACAGCTGGTGAAAGGGCTGGAAGGCATGTCCTGTGAGGAGGGGCTAAGCACTCTGGGTTTGCCTGGTTTGGAGAAAAGGAGGCTGAGGGGCAACCTCGTAGCTCTCTGCAGCTTCCTGAGGAGGGGAAGCGGAGAGGGAGGTGCTGAGCTCTTCTCCCTGGGATCCAGTGACAGGATGTGTGGGAATGGTTCAAAGCTGTGCCAGGGGAGGTCTAGATTGGACATGCGGGAGCATTTCTTTTCCAAAAGGGTGGTCAAACACTGGAACAGGCTTCCTAGAGAGGTGGTCGATGCCCCAAGCCTGGCAGTGTTAAGAGGCATTTGGACAATGTCCTTAATAACAGGCTTTAACTTTTGGTCAGCCCTGAAGTGGTCAGGCAGTTGGACTAGATGATTGCTGTAGGTCCCTTCCAACTGAAAATACTCTCTTCTGTTCTATTCTGTTACATATGCTCCAAAAAATAGGAGCAAAATATATTCCAAGGAAGCCATTAGGTGGTGTTTTTTTACTGTACTATTACATAGAATAGTTACCAACTAATTATTTTGAAAAAAAATGTTTTTTACCAAAAATACCATGAAAGCAAATGAAAATCTCAAGGGAATTTAATGTATTTTTGACCTCTGGCAGAGCACACCGCTGAACAGTGGGCCATTGCGAACTGATACACGTAGATGTTACGGGCCACATCTTCTGCTTATAGAAATTTAGCAGCTATGTTAAAATCAGTAAACTGTGGCAATTACTCTGCTTGAAGGTCTGACTCATTACTTTGTGTGACAGAGAAATATGAGTTTGTCTATAAAATATTAAAAAGGGGAAATAGGTAAAGGCCATTCCACCATTGTGAGCAGCAGACCTCATCTACTGATGTCACTCAGCCTGTAGCTGGTCTTCATGTGGTCCCGTGGTATGGCACAGTTCATTGAACATTCATGACTAGTTATTTCCCTTCTTTTAACTTTTGAAGTCGTCTTTTACCCTTTTCCAACCATTTGGAATTGGATTTCTTATTTGTGAAAGTAAGCTTCCTCCCTCTTCTCTTTTAAATCTTAAATTTTAATGTCTCTCAGACTCGTCTGGATGTTTGCACCTGATTTCATTCCCATCTCTGTTTCTTATGTTGCCTCCATCTATATTAAAATACTACACTAAAAAACTCTGAATGTTTTGGAAACAAGCACTTAAAAGTTAGTAAATCGCACTTTTGAGGTTCTCTGCAAACTTAATGCACTATATCTGAATAATGTGTCATTATATGATCCCTAGTGTATATTTAGCAAGCAGGGGTGCTTTTTCATGGTATCACAGTAATTAACAATAGTAAATCATCTTGCACTGCATTCAGTACACCTTAATATCCATACTGCCTGCATATATATGCATACTAATATGTAATTCCATAAAAGAAAACAAAAGTTTAAACCGAATCAATGAGTACATTACGGTTTTTAGTTAGGGTAAGAGAAAATTTTAGCATTTGGATGATTGAAATGGTTCTGAATAGCTTACTGCGTGTCTAATCAACATATAAATTAAGGCAAATAATTTTATATAAGTGAATTAGAGTATTGTTTGTGTGATTACTGTTTTCAAAAGTGATCTTCCTGTATGAATCGAAGATCTATGACCAATTGCGTGCAAAATTTATTCAATTGTGTAAGTCTGTTTTTTACATTACGTTAAGTATTGCAAGTCCCATTCTAAACTTTCAAGCAGCAGTAACTGCTACAGCAAATTTACAGTAGTGTGCTGCATTAATGAATAAATACGCACAGTGACTGTTGGATGTTTTTTCATCTATTTCTCAGGATTTATACTATCTAATTAGAATGAAAGTGTCATTCCTGTATTTATCAGTTTGTATTTAAATTTATCATTCTTGTAAAGACCTTCCTTGTACTGTAACAGCAGGTATTCCATAGTGTAATCTGTGCATAACAAGGTATCTTTGCTTTTAAAACAATTGTTTGCTGGCAGTGGTTACAAACTTGAATCTTGTATAATACTTGATTCTGTTTCCTTCATGTCCAGTTACAGTTCAGTAGTTCAAGCACAGTGGTGCTCTTATCAGTACTGTTTCCTGTGCAGACCAGGATTAACTTCAAATAATTCCCAATGTTCATTTGTCTGACCTGTTCTTAGAAACATCCACAGCTGGAAACTCCCCTGTGTCTTCAAGCAATCTATTCCACTCCTTCATTACCTTTAGAAAGTTCTTCTAAAATCCGCCCTATGTATCTCCTTATGGCAGCTTAAAGCACTTCTTGTCTGGTCCCTCAAGGATGTGGAGAACAGGCTATCTCCTCCTTGTTGTTTCTTCTTGTTGTGGTTTAGCCCCAGCCAGCAGCTCAGCACCACGCAGCCGCTCGCTCACTCCCCCTGCCCTGATGGATGGGGGAGAGAATCGGAGGAGTAAGAGTGAGAAACACTCCTGGGGTGAGATAAGAACAGTTTAATAATTGAAATAAAGTCAAATAGTAATGATAATAATAACAATATAATAATGATAATAACAATATCCAAAGCAAGTGATGCCCAATGCAATTGCTCACCACCTGCCGACCGATACCCAGCCAGTTCCCGAGCAGCGATCGCTGCTCCCCGGCCAACCCCCCCAGTTTCTATACTGCCCATGATGCCATATGGTATGGAATGGCCCTTGGGGCAGTTTGGATCAACTCTTCTGGCTGTGCCCCCTCCCAGTTCTTGTGCCCCTGGCAGAGCATGGGAAGCTGAGAAGTCCTTGACCCGCATAAGCAGTACTGAGCAACAACTAAACCATCAGTGTGTTATCAACATTCTTCTCCTGCTAAATCCAAACCACAGCACTGTGCCTGCTACTAGGAAGAAAATTAACTCTATCCCAGCCAAAACCAGGACACTTGTATACTTGAAGAGTGTTTCTTTTCATGTCATGCTCCTGCTTGTTACAGTCCTTTTCTTAGCTGGTTCACCTGCTTTTGGACGTGCAGTGCCCAACACTAGATACAGTACTTCAGGGGAGGCGTCAACTCAAGTTGAGCAGCAGGCTTATTTCGTACGGCTTGCTGACTGTGCTCTTGCAGATACTTGCAACAGTCTGGTTGCCTTTATTTTCAAGAATGTGACATTGCTGCTTCCTCTTTAGCCTGTGATCCACTGTAATTCTTTATGCTTTTCTGTAGAGCTCCTGCTTAGCTGCTTAGTTCCTGTCTCTTATTTTTACAGTTGATTTTTCCTGCCTAAATTCAGTACTTTGCATTTGTTCCGGCTGTGCTATCTTCCTTTCTTTCTCAGTCCATTTGTCACGATTATGTTACATTTTAACAATGGCTTTATAACTGCGGTCTCTCTCAAGAATTTGGTATCACCTACAGATTTAGTAAGCCCACTCTATTCCATTGTACAGAGTTTTTATGAAAAACACTGGGCTCAGTGCAGATGCACATTGAATTGTGCTTGATAAATCCTGTCATTTTGACAGACACATTTTGGTAACTATTTTGGAGTGTATTTTTTTAACCAATTATGTACAAACACTGTCATTGGTTCATCTAGAATCTGTTTCTCTAGCTTACTTAAAAGGAGATCATGTGAAAGCATACAAAAACTTCTGCTTCTCTATGCACAAAGGGGCATTATCCCATCAAAGAAGTAAATTTTATTGTTTTGCCATGATTTATTCTTGATAAATCCGTGTTTGCTGTTACTCAGCTTGTTTCCTTTCAAATTTTCCTTTGTTTTAGCAGCAAGTGTCATTAAAGCACATGTGTGTTCTCTCTGTATAAAGATAAGCACTGCTGAAGAGGCTGCTTTGTATGGCTTTTGCCATTTCGTAGAAGCGTAAGCTCTGCTTCATATTGTATACTGTTTAATTTAAATACAGGTTCACCCGGTTCACAGGGCAGACCTCTGTTGTTCTGTTGTCTTACATTTAGTGAAGTGCAGATTAATATATTAGTATATTATCAAAGTATTTATCAAAGGCGTTTTTTTCTTTTCATGAAAAAAGTCTTTGTATTCCGTTCTATTCTGGTAAGAAAGACTTTTTTTTTTTTTTTTTCCTTTTTAAATCCATTACCATGGGATAAAAATATTGCT